AGCATCTATGCCTAAAGCCAGAGGGTGAGGAACAGGAGCTGGGCATTCCAGTGAGTGGCAAAAGCAATGATATGAGGCATCCCGAGATGAGTGCAGAACCAAAAAAATATTTGTGGATGAAGCATTCGTTTTGTAGGCAGAACTCTGTTGGGACCAGATAACTGATTGGCTACAAAATTCATAACACTTGGAACATGACAAGATAGGAGAACAATGATTGTGGGCCCAAAAGAGAAGCTCCAATGTTCGAAAACAAAGAGACCTGGAGTGAGTGCCCCTTTGCTTGGAAATGTTGGAGGCCACAATGGAATTTTCCAAAAGAAGTATTTCCACCTACCCTTGCAACTTTGTGGTAGTAAGAATAGACTTCTCTGTTTTGGCGAAACCCAGCTCTCACAGCTTTAGATAAAAAAGCTTGAGTGTGAAGCTCTGCTAAGTGGGGGGAAGGAGAAAGAAGAAAAGCCAGTCATCCATATAAAGGTATGTGTGAATGCCGAACAAGTGAAGATGATAAGAAAAGGATATGAAAATCCGACAAAAGAAATATGGGGCAGATAACAGATAGAGAAAGAAACTGAAAAAACTGTCTCTCGTTCACAAAACGGAGATAATGAAGTGACGATTCCAGGATCGGAAGATGAAGATAGACATCGGCAACATTGAAGGTAGTGCTGATACAAGAGGTCTAGAAACCCAAATGGGAGATGCAGGAAACTGTCTGGTAGAAGACTGGGAAAGGCAAGAGACCAGTATCAAAAGAGAAGAGTGGATACAGGCTACATCCACCCGAGATTCTATGGAATATGAAATAACTGCAAAAACAGAATGTCTGGTGAAGGTGGAAAGACTAGTTCAGGAGGTAGGACGCAGGATGTGATTAGCTCTTTGAGCAAAGGAAGGAGTCCAAATTCACACCAGTCCACCCCCGATCCCCAGCAAACTCAGCCTTTGAGCCAACAGGAGAAGAAACATCAGACCTCATCTAAGATTCTACCTCTCTGCATATGAGGGAATAGACATCCTCTGTGGAAAGGGGGCCTCCCTCTGACACCCCAGGCAATGCTAGACTCTAAAGGTGGCAAAGAAGGAACACTGAGAGACTCCATGTTAGAGACATGAATGTGAGAAATCATATCTGAAATGTCTCAAATTTTTTTTGTGTGGAAAATAAAGAAATGATACAATAAACTCAAAATCCAATAACACGGGTCGAAAAAAATCATTCAAAGCATAGGTATAAGTAAAGTTATACAACATGTGAGAGAAACCCCCAGCAAGCTTGTAAAACCGGCATTGTAACATTCTGCCATCAATAAAAGTGAATAAGAAGTAATAACGGGGAGCTGATATTCAGATCTGGGATAGGGGTGCAATGACTAGGTGGAAAAAATCACAAGGTTTAACTTGCTATGGGCAATATAGTGAGGTATAAAGGCTGGAGCAAGCAAAGCAATATTCATACCAATGCTTAGATGCGCAGAGAAGAGAAACCTTCATCGGGATAAAGCTAAAGTGTAAGCATAGGTGTGTTTGGAATTAAGAAATTAAAATTTAAATAATATAAAATTCTGAATTATAAGTTACATTCTGATGCTAATTTTGTTGACACACATTGATGATAAAGTGTGATTGAATATTGGATGTAACTGTGAAACTACAAATGTTGGCATGTGCAGAAAAGCCAGGCATGTGTTTAAAGTGTAAACACTGCCAAGCTTTTTCTGTCAAAGAGGAAGTAATTAATTATACCTTAATATATCAAATTAAGTCTTGATTACTTAAAAAACAGTATTTATTACAGTAAAATAACATCAGTTATTTAATTAGCCATTTTCCAAAATTGACAGTTTTCATTTTGGCCTATCATACTGTTAATCTGTTTATAGCTGTAGATGTTTAGGAATAACTACAAATTTACAAACTTTGTAAGAACCAATACTGAAAATACCATGTCCATAGTTAGAAGAATAAAAAAAATTTTAAAAATGTAAAGCTCTTTGCACTGAAAAGTTAGTAAAAATATTCAAACAACAGACTGACCAAATATTTAAAATACTCAAACCAAAGGCTGATTGGGTAAGTAAAATACTTATACCACAGGCTGAACAGCTAGATAAATAATTCAAACCACAATCTGACTAGGTAGTCAAAATACTCAGACCATAGATTGATCAGGTAATTAAAATATCAGGCTGATAGACAGTTAAAATATTTATACAACAAGCTGATTAGGTAGTCAAAGTACTGAAATCACAGGCTGGCTAGTTAAATAAAATATTCAAACCGTAAGTTGACCAAGTAGTTAAAATACTTTAACCATATGCTTACCTATTTAAACCCATGATTAGAAAATGTTTAAGAGTTTGAATATTCTCTGTAAGCTTTGTTAAAAGAAGAAGAAACATTCAGGGTTTTACGGTCTAGGTGTAATTTACTAAAACCATTATGCACACGAAGCCCTACCTAAACACCAATGTTTCTAATTAACAAGATAAGACATGCTGACAACAAATTTATCTTACAAAAGTCCAATTTCCAAAAGTCTCCTCTTTCCTGCAAGTCTGTCATTCCTCCATATACCCACATAGCTTCATCATGAATGACACTGGTGTGATTATGACGTGGCAAAGGACATTCCAAAAAATTCGGGAACTTAAAAAAGTGCCACCTTTCTGACTCTGTATGAAAATAGTTAAACATTTTTCAAGTAAAATGTGCATAATATTATTGTTAAATGATATTCTGAAACTGAAAGTGCAAACAAAATACATAATTTTTACATATATTTCTTGATTATTGTAAAAACAGAGTAAAATTGTGCGGAGCCTTTGTGATGCTGCATCAACGAGATTCTGTTGTGTACCTCTATAAGCATTTACTTTGTGTATGTATGTATGTATGTGTACATATATTTGTCAAATTTTACTATATTATACAGGTTTAATAACCACACACACACACTGCTTAAGGAAACCTTATCAAACTTATTGGTTATGAGTAAATATAACAGATACAATTTCTAATATGTTAGCAAATGTTAAACAACATATTCTCTGAAAACAGAAAATAAAAACATATCAGTATGCATATGGTTTATATAAATCTATGCCAGTTCTACAATATTAAATGTGCAAATTTCAGGTACAACAGCTCGTTTTACTGCACTTAGGGTAACAAATGAAACATACATTGCATACAAATGTATATTTATGTGAGTAAGCAAAAAAGGGATGAGCTACTAAGTATGTACACAACCATCATCAATGATGATGTTCCTTTCATCTGCTTACTTTTTCTTCTAGTTTTCTTCAGCTTTCGCTACTTATAATCACATTATCTGCGTACATCATGGTCCATGGTATTTGGTCTTGGATCTCTTGTGTCAATGTAGAGAGCACAACAATCAATAAGTAGGACCTCAAAGTGGATGTATGGTGCACTCACACTGCTATCAGAATGTCTTTTGAGTTACCTACAGGTGTTTGTACATATGCTCGGCAATCTTTATGGATGTCAATAATGAGTTTGATATACTTTTCTGAAAGTTACTTCTTTCTCAAACTATCCCAAGTCCCTGCCCTTGGTACTCTATTGTACACCTTTTCCAAATCCAAAAAATGCTACATGAATCATCTTCCTTTTTCTCAGTGTCTCTCAGTCAGAATCCTCAAGGCAAATACTGCATCCATTGTTGAGCATGCCAGTACGCATATAATTTGATTCTGTGAGATTGAGCTCTTTTGTCAGATTATTTTACTTATTACCCTTCCCAATAACTCATCATGTGACCCATCAATTTTATTCCTCAATAACTCCCACATGTTTGGATGTTACCCTTTCTCTTGTAAATAGGTACAACTATACTGTTCCTCCATGTACATAGCATTTGCTCAGTTGTCATTATGAGGTTAAACAAACATGTTAGCCATTTCACTCCTTCATGACTCAATGCTTTTCATGTCTCAATTGGAATTTCAACTGCCTTTCCTGTTTTAAGTTTTTCATTGTTCATTAACTTCCCTTTCAGAGCTTTGCTGTATAAAACCCAAATTTTGGTTCCTAAAAACATGGCTGCCTTGGATATTCTTTCTTAAGTAATTGACTAGAGTATTCACTCCATCTCTTTTTTTATCCACTCTTCATCATGTATCAGTTGTTCAATTACAACCTTGACGATTTTCATTTTAGTAAGGTTCTTTGTTGTTCGATCTTTAGCTTTTGCTAGCTTGTAGATCATCTACTGTCCTTCAGTTTACAGTTTATCATAGATTTCCTTGAATTTGAGCCTTTTCTCTAATAACAGCTTTCTTTACCTTCTTTTCTTCTTCACTTCCCTATAAGTCACCAGATCTTTGGTACTTTTCAAGTTTTGCCATTTTTTTTATAACCTTTTCTTTTCCTTGATGCTATTTTGGGCATTATCACTCTATACCTCACTTCCTTCTACTTTAATACATATTTCTTCAGTATCTTGTGGGTCTACCTCAATCTCACTGAGGTGTGACTAAACCCTCCTTTTGAGGTCTCTATTTTCTGGTCTTTTAACTTCCACCACTTGATTTTGGGTGAACTTTTAGCCTCCCTTTTTTTTTTCTCTCTTATTCCCATCCAATACTTATCACTAGTATTTTATGTGGTGTTGTGAATCTCTCTGCAGGTATTATTATTATCATTACTGTCTCTCCATATTCTCTCAAATTTGTTTTTTTTTCCCATTGTTATATCCAGCTTGTGACGCATAAGAGCTCACTATTGTAATATACTCCATGCCCATGGAAAGTCTCATGGACATGAGCCTTTCACTCAGATGTTTGATCTCAGTGATGCTATTATTTAACTCTGTACATGTTATCATGCCAACCTTGTTATTTCCTGAAGTACTGTTCTTTGGTACCTTTCCAGCATGTTTCTTGGATGCATGCAATTTGAATATTATGTTGATTTAGGGTTTCAGCTAACTCATAACTTCTTCGTGTTAGTGTCCAGATATTCCATGTTGTGAACCATTGTTTCCAGACTAACTTCTTTGGCTGTGTCCATCCTTGAAACAGAAGCCCACACTAATTTTGCACAGGAAATGAGTGATCTTTCTTTGTACTGTTTCCAGAGGACATCTTAGCCGTTATTGTATTACTCTTTAAGGACTTGTTTATAGATTTTAGTTATTTGTTTTTTTCTGTGCCAAATGCTGTCCAATGCACAACCCCTAGTGAGCTGGAGGACTGGTGGATTACTTGTTTGTCTGACTTATACCCCCAATCCAACCAGGGAGGCCCTGAAAATAGTTATTCTACTGCTGGCATAGTTCTCAGAGTCACGGATGCATGCAAAAATCCATTACCATGTCAAAGTCATGCAATCCCCAGATGAAGTAAAGTACATACACAATATTATTGTTAAATGATCTTGTGAAATTTAAAGTGCAAACTAAATACATATGTTGCTTGAACATTGTAGGAACACAATACACATTGTTTTGAGTCCCTATGATGCTGAATCAAAGGGATTACATGTGAACTAAATATGAAAAACAGTTTCCTGATAAGATAACAGTATCATTCAATTTCAGTTAAATATTGTTACCTCTGAAAAAAGCAAGTTAGCATTAATCTTAAACCCTATAAGTTTGTTTGCCTTTATCTTTTGTTTTAGATGATAACAGTGAAACAAAAGATGTGGTTAATTATGTAGAGTAAAGAATTATTTCATATTAAACAAGCTTACCAAAATCAAATGCCCAAAGTTCCCCTGATGATCCTTTCAAATCTTGATAACCACCATAGATATACATCATACCATTGTACTTCAAAGCAGTATGTCCACGCCGTCCAGATGGTTGTGAAAAAACTGCTGTCTTGGAATGCATCTTTTTCCATGAATTTGATTCTAAATTAAACAACACTATAAGTTACAAACACTGTTCTCGTAAATTTTAATGGCAATATACTGATTATCCGGTAACTGCAATTTTTTAAAACACTGCTTACTGCATTATAAATTATGAAACCAAGTAAAAGTTTTATCAAAAAATATAAAATTAATAATGCATCATAACTTATTAACTCTTCTCCACTAATAACCACTGTCATGTAAATTTCGCATGAAAAAAATACTGAAAAAATTCAAATGATCACATAATGTACACGAAATTGGATGACTAACCATAATTTGGTGTGAATTCTTTATTTCCCTATAATATTATTATGCAAAGAAATACTAATTTAATGGTTAGGAGATAAAGAAATGTAGAGTCTAAACAAAAATGATTAAAGAAGCACACTTGGCAAACAATAAAACAAATGAATTCAAAAAGGACTTCACAAGATTAAGTCAATTTGAATGACCTATTAGTGGAGGCTAAAGCTGGAAGAACAGTTGAAGTTTTTCATGACTTATCTTCAAAATTCAATCAAGCTACTTTTTGTTTATGTTATACCAATTAGTATAGCATAAATTCATGGCTAATAACCCATATTTTAATAATATATAAGTTTTAAGTTCTTAATTTTACAAGGCAATATTAATAAAAATCCAGAATTTACCCTAATGTAAGAAATGTGACATTTTTTCTCTAGTCATCTCTTCTTCTCTAATTTATTCACCACCCCTCCAATAAGTATGAAATTTAATGGAGATTACTGACTAATAAAATCATCATTTCTGAGACAAATCATGATTATTATAGCATTTAATATTGTTTGGTTACAGAGATATCAAATAGAAAATCAGACCTCTCTTGCCACACCCACCTGTCATTTGTCTCATATTTAATAATATATTATTATTAGCCAATAGAAAACCAAGGTTTTCATCTATGAAATGATGTATTTTATTCTGAACAGAAAATTGTCAATTTCTCTTTTAGTTCTAGCTTTGCTCCCACAGGGAAGATATTGATTAGCTTGGATGAACTTGTAATGGCTCTTGTCACATAGTTAGAAAGCCAGAAAAATTGTGAGTTATGGGACATTGTCCGATTTTTGCATGTTATTATTCTATGTTCTTTTGTGTATTATTTAATTAAATAAAAAATATTTAGTGCACTACTACCATTTATATATAAAAAATATGGTTAAGTGTCATCGACAGTCGACAGCAAATAAAAAGAAGGTCCAGGTAAGTACTTTATTTCTTGTTTTTCATGTGTATTCTTTATTTATTATTATAAAAGTAACTAAAACATAAAAACTGGAATCTCTTTAGTTATTTACAGATAGATTAGGTGAAATAAATAATAATAATAATAACAAAACATTTTCATGAGGCACACACATGAGCAGCTTGGAGTAGTGTGTGGGTAATGTAATGTAAATTCTAAAAGCACAAAAAAATAACATCTTGACACGAATACTGCCAAACGAGGGAGTCACATGCATCAGGAGTGTGTCACATTCTTATTGGTGGAGGGTAGTCGCATGATGAGTTGCATGCGAGATGCATTTGAATCAATCAATTGTAAGACATGTGGGAGCTTAAGGCTTGTGGTATGCGAGAAAAAATGTTTTTGGATAGAGAAGGCTGCACTGAATGAGAATAGCTATTTATATGAGAAGATGTAATGTACCATATCAGAAAACATAATATTAATATTGAAGAAGAGGGCTGAAGGAAGATGGGAAGAGAACAATAATAAGAAATAGGAGACAGTGAAAGAAGGTAATATTCCTGAGAAGAAAATTCAATGAAGGATGCAGAATGTTGAGGTAGATCCATGTGTACACTGAAAGAATTGTTTACAAATTTAGGCAGTGGAAAAAAACAGCCTAAAATCTACATCCTCATGAACAAAAATGATAGTTGGAGAGAAGCTCATGTCGAGGCCTGTAAATGGCCCAGGCCACATGCAAGACTCCACCACCTGCAACACAGTAACTGTAACATCCCCCAACAGACAAAGAAGTACCCAACAACATTGTGGTAGTCTGTCTAGAGTGAATAAAGTTCAGATGTTGAACACCAGACAGCATGAAAATTACCATCTCTTTGTAATTCATATGGTAGAAAATAAGAGCCACAAACTCCACAGAAGCAGAATTGATTGAAAATAAAACAAAAAATACTTCCACAACAGTTGGTTTTGTAGATACTTCAAACAAACATCGATGTTGAGAAATCTCATGTGAGCAAAAAAATGTTTTAACGTGTGAGTGCCAAATTGAGAAGTGATGATTGAACAATCAGTATAGAGAGAACCAGCTGCACTAGGAGGCAGTGTCACAGTCCCACTGGTGGAGATTTTTTGCATGCAACAACACAGCAGTATCATGTGGAAACACATGAGATTAAGTGACAGACACAAGGCTAGTGGCAAGCAGAAAAGTTTGCTTACAGAGGACAATACTGAATTGGGAGAAACAGATGTGTGAAGAAGTTATGTATTGTATTAGAAACTACTTACAGCAATGACAACAGATCAATTACATAGACTGGTGATAGAAGATAGATTGTTGGTGTAGGCTACAATCTAGCTACTAAGGTTTAGAAAACTTGGTTCTTGGATGCAAAATTCCGGATAACAGCCAACTATGAAAATGAAGACAAGCAATTGAATTGTGTGGTTGTTAAAGAAATGTTTGCTGAGATGCTAATGGAAAGAAGCTCTAGATCAGCCCAATAAAAAGGGGAATAAAAGCCTGAGTTTACCAAAATATGGCCTTATTTATTCAGCTTGTTTATGTAGAACTGTTAATTAGAAGTAAAACTGTATCCAGACTCCACTCTGAGAAGTTGTAGGTTTTGCAAGACCAATAACATCAACATTAATTGTGTCAATGTTATTCACAGCATTGTATAACATGGTTGTGCACAAAATGTAAGCAACTCAACAAGGTAAGGCTCTCAGTAACTCAGAGGTAAGTCTACATGATACGAGTTTCTGATGTTTTAGTTTTCCTTGTATTATGACCAACATGATTTACCATGTATTTTACATTATGCATTAGTATATTACAACAGCACTGTAACAACTTCAAAGTGATTAAAATATGCAAAGAAAATTAGCCCAAAAGTAAAGCACTTTCCATGAAGGGGTCACTTCTTCATTAGATAACACCAAGAGATTACAAAATGAAGAATTTCTCCATGTCAAACAGTAAAGCATACAAAGATGTATAAATGTAGACAACAGTTTCTTATAACTATCATAAGTTATATGTTTTCACAAGTTTTCAAAAATTATCATAATTTTTGCATTGCGTAGCATCAGAGGAGTGAACTTAAAAAGATAATTTTAAGTGTATAGATAAATTTACCTTCTTTACATCTGAAATTTAAGCAATTTCTTGTAATATTTCACAAGAAAAAACACATTTGGTGAAAACTATTCTAATGGTCATAAAATGAAACTTTTATGTTTTTTATTATTCCTGTGATCACAATAACTTTAAAACTGAAAATAAGACTTCATACTATCACAAACTAAAGCAATGTATGGAGGAAAAATCTAGGTCATACAATGAACTATAACAAATTTATGATAATTTAAACTGAACTACACAACATTAAGTATATCAACTATCAAAGGTTAAAAACCTACCATATTATTAGTTACTACTGAAAGAAAAGTTAAGATCATACAAAAAATTATAAATAAATTCTGAACTTGAAAGCTCAGCTACAGTCAGTAATAAAAAAAACAAAAAAACCCTACTTCAATGAAGACTGAGCTACACAACTAATGCTATTTAATGAAGGTAAAAACCTGCTTAATGGTTAGTTACTACTAGAGGTTACTAACCCGTACTTAATACCCACAAAGGTGTTTCTCCTGTTGTTGCAAAACCTACTTCTCCTCCAAAAACATACAGTTTATCCTGTAAAGAAACACATTTGAAACATTATTTGGTCACCATTAACAAATAAATCATAATTCTGTGTTATCTAATCTAAACTATTTTTTGCACCGACTATTTTTTGTTTTAAGTTTGTCATCCAAGACAGAAAGTGCATTGCTATGTTGTTTTTGGTCTAAATCTTTTAAGAGTAACAATAAAATTATAATAATTTAAATAAACGATATTTTATTTTTTCTCACTGATACGAATATGTTCTAAGAACACTAAATCTAGCACACATCTTTATTTTTGTTTTTTGTATAAATTTATAAGCAAATTGTACATTTAATTGTTTTTACAGGGTTTAAGAACATCCCTAAATAATCCCTAAATAACAAAGACACATGTATTCATATTTTTTTTGTTAAGTTTGTAAGACTATAAATATATGTTTGTTTTGTTTCTTGTGTAAAAACTTAGTTAATTTTGTTAACATTCAATCAAAAAGTTTCTCTTAACAAATCAATAAATTCATATAAAATTCAAATATTTCTTTGTAATTTCTAAATGATTTTTCATTGCACTATATGAATATTACGAAAAAAGACCCAAGGAGTTTTAAACAAAATTTCTTCTCAAAAAACTATTGTTGCCTAGATGACCAAAAGTAATACAAGTATTTGAACTTATTGAATAATGTCTTCTTACAAGTAAGATTTTATTCAAAAGAACAGCCTGTTGGAACAATGTTTGAACTGTGATAAAGAAAAAATGAATGAAAAACATTTACATATGTTGAATGTTTTGAAATACATTTACTCCATCATTAGAAAAGTCTTGAAATGGTTTATCATAGATAAAAAAATCTGAACATCTAGAAATAAAAGTTATAAAACAATAAGCAAATAAATAGCTGTACACAGATCTGTAATACATCAAGTTAAGTAAACAGTCATTATGAAACGAAATGATTTGGTTGTTTTAATGCAAAGCCACATTGGACTTCCTCCTGTGTCCATCACATGAAATCAAAGATCTACTTTCCAAAAACATTTCAGCTTTTGGGTTTCTTGTTTGTAGCAAAAGGAAATAAAATATTAATTAGAATTCAAGACACAAAGATGAACATTGATAACTGTTTTTTGCAATACATATTAGGAAAAAAATTTAGTTGATGCAATATCTGTAGATTATTTAGATCAGAGTAATTTTTGAGAAGAGTAGTTTATTTTATAAGAAGTTCAAAGTCTGCAAATCCACGTGTAATGTATGCAAAGTTATCAACAGATACGCTATAACTGTTTTTTCTTTATTGACTGTTATTTGAAAGAGAAAGTTAAACAAGTTAAAGATCAGTTCTATTACATACAACTAAAGATCCATAGACTGACTGTTAAGTGACATTTAATTTTGCCAGTCATATATGATATTACAGATACTATGCATTTGAAGATGAACCATGAATGAATGGCTGTTGGCAAGCAATCTTTATATTGCAATAATTAAAGATTCTGTTTAAAAGCTATATCACATACATACATTTGAAAATAATTTGCATGATGCTGTTAAAGATGGAAAAGAAGTTGGTCAAGATGTTTTAATGAAATAAAAGTTTTTATTTATATTTTATATTATGACCAGGTGAAAAAAAATTATTCAGCTTACTAGATAGAGTAAAAGACTCGTGGAATTGTTTTATGTGAAATAATATAATCAGTGCGCGCGTGTGTGTGTGTATATATGAAGGGAGGAGGGAGAGAAAGGTGGATACTTTTTACAGTTCATCCATGTAAATATTGATATATACAGATTTCAAATCTAGAGAAGCCTTAATAGGCTGGTTGACAGAAGATTTTTTTTTTTATTTCAGATAAATCAGAAAAAATCTGACAGTAAGATCATTAGCTGACAAGGTAAAAGAACAAAAAAATTACAATTATATAATTTACAGGATACAATCCCTGGAAGAAAAGATCGCAGTAGGTAGTCAGATGAATTGATTTTTGGGAGGCCATTGGTACTTCTTTTAGGTGGTTGGTAATGAAGAACTTTGTGTACAATGCTTTGATCTTTTAGGATTTTGAAAAAACCTCAGAATTTCTTTTCCACTTTTATTATGATTAATGATAATAAATCCATGTTAAGTTTATGAAATTCTGAAGTGCTGTTCAAGAGAAAGTTAATTTTATTAATGCAGTTGCTTTTTTCCCCCAAAATAACAGGGTACTATGGTGTTATATTTGATTTTCTAAAGTCTTTGAAAGCATGAGGTTCATCATATTTGAATAGAGAGGCAGTTGACACTAAATATCTATTTAGAGAAGAAAAAATTTAAATCTGATTTTCAGCAGATCATTGACCAAGTCATGGGTTAAAGATTTTACAAACAAGCTGAAAGTGTTAGAGGTAGTTCAAATATTACTGCAAGTCACTGAAATCAAAAATCACTTTGTCACAATCAATGTCAGACAAGTGGTTAATGACTAGCAAAGATTAAATGCCTAAATCCAATTTAGGATAGATGATTTTGTGGATCTTGAGTATGGATTTCTAGACTTTAAATGCTGGTGCTGTTATTATTTAAATTTTTCTCAAGAAATCAGCATAGCCAAGCAAAAATAAACAGACATATTTTTAAGTTCTTGATTTGTAAAATTGTATGTTTGAAGTAGAGAGTTTTCAGAGTAAGCCTAGGGTGTTTATATTACGTATGTAGTTGGGTATCTAGGAAATTCTCCTGATCTTTAAATCCATGTTTTCATAAATTCTGAATTGGTCATTCCTAAGTCAATATATTTAACTGCTCATTTTGACTTATTCTCTTATTTTTACCAGTCTAATGACTTAATATTGTTACGTCTCCGTTTGTTAATTGATTTTTCCGTAACTTCGTTCCAACAAAACTTTAACAACACAAGTCTTTACTTAATAAAACTGGTTTATTCTTTCCGAATATAACTCTGCGATACACTTAATCTCAATACTCGCGCTAAAACAACACTGTAACGAAAGAACGTTAACTTCAACAATACCCTGTGACTGCAGTTCAATTACTCACTATCTGCCTCCTTTCGCGTCACGTTGTCCCCTCCTATAGATATATATCC